TTCATGCAGCCACAGTCTCTCAGTTGTAGAACCAAGAGGTTCTACAGCCTCTGCCCATAACGTTCAGTGGGAGAAAAAAAAACTCAGTGAAGATCAGTCATGATCCTGCTTCCTTCCAAAATGGGGACTCTGAGTACACTTCCCTGAACTGATAGACAGAAACGCCCCGCTGCCACGCCTCCGAGGTGCTGGCCAATGGATATCCATTTCTCCTACCAAATTATTTACATTGCCAAGGGTGAATTCCTCCCACTTCTCCATCAGGGAACTTTTAATCATTCAACCCTGCTCTTTCCAGGTCCCTTCCAACCCGAGCTGTTTAATGATTCTATGATAATACATAAAACACAAATCTATTTCAAAATTAAAAACTTGATGAGTCCACACGTTTGCTGTTACCTATGTCCTCTTCAATACCAGATCACAGCCAGCAATGCATCACGTCCTGATCACATCACATTAGCCCAACAGCAGCACTGAAGTATTTTAAATGAACCATTTGTTTGGAATATGCCAAGTGAAAGCCCAGAGTTGTAGAACCGTGTATAACCAGAGATACATGCTGAAGTTTCTTGCAGCTACAAAAGTCCGTGTTTCTCAGCCTAAGGAGGGCAAGTCTCTACAAGCAAATCCCTGAGCATGCAAAGTTAATAACTTTGTCACCCAATCTGTGCGATGCTATTGATGTCAAGATATTTAAGAAATGCAAGTGAAAAATAAGATCAGGAATACAGTATTGATGCAGCATAATTTTTAATATAATTGAAAGGCAGATACATTTTTTAAGGCATACAGAACTGAAAGACTACTTCCCCAAAGACACATTACAGTCTGCCTCTACCATTCATTCAGCGTCAGAGGCAATGTCTTGTACATCATTGCAACAAATGTAAAAACCAGTTTACAAAGAAGTGCAGTGTCAAGGAGGAGTAAGCTTTTGATCAAGAGGAGAGTTTGGGTGGCAGGAGAGCAAGCAGATACAGAGCAGAATAAATATAAACCATGGCGAGCACTTCGACAGCAGCGCCGAGCGCTCAAAGCCTCCATCGAAGGTGGTGGTTGTCACCAGGGCTCTGCACATTGAGGACCACTGCTGCCAGGGTTCACCATCAATCCATGCTTGCCAGGCCTGGGTTGATCTTCAGGGATGCTCCTCTTGGGTTTACCAGCTGTACCAGTTCCCGCAGCCGAACCTTTGGCCGTATCGTGAACCGAAGGGGTAGCTGTAGCGGCCAGAGTAAAAGCTTGGGTAGCCACTGCAGTCCCCAGAGCCATAAATGCCTCGGTTACCGTACAGACCACCATAGCCATACCGGTCCCCAAAGCCGTAGAGGCCCCGGTAGCCATAGAGGCCTCCATAGCCCCGGTAGCCACAGGGACTCCAACAGTCGTAGCTGCGGTTGTTGTACAGGTTCCAGGAATTCCAGGGAGTGTAGCAGTCATCATCCCACTGGCCTTGGAGGAAAGTCATCTTTCTGCGATGGAGGCAAGCCTGAAACGCAGCAGCAGGGAGGAAAGCAAAAGTAAGAAATACTTCCAGAGGCAGTAACAGTCTCAGAGCCCAAAGACCTCTTCAATGGCCCCATGAGACCAAGGGCAGAAGCAAAATTATGACCAAATTCCTCAGCTCCTTATTAAATCCCATTTCTATCTTTTTCTCTTTCACCCACTGTTTTTAAAGCATTTAATTTCTTTTCTCACTTAATGAGATTGGTGAAAACACTGGCTATGGAACATGCCCTGTTACAGATCAAAATCTCCTTGCTGCTGTTTCAGGATTTTTTCTTAGACAATATTGTTAGGAGTTAACAATCCTAAATTTCTTTTAGGATATCAGCTTTGCATAGAGCTCTACCTTCCCAAATCCTTCAAGAAAGCTTGAAGTGTCTGACATCTGCCATGATAAGCTTTTGGGGCCATTGCTCCAAGTCCCATTTCAGTAATTTACACCAATTTTGAATTGACATTGGGAAATGCTGACAGCAGATGCAGGAAACTATGGAACATTAACACACATGAGAACATTTGTTGTCCAGCCAAAGAGACCTGAAGATCTCCCTTAAAATAAAATAGAAGATTTATAGAAGAATCCACTGAGGGCCACAGTGGAGAAACCCTTCTTTATCTTTGCTGGAGGCAGGTCTGCAGAGCTAATAACCAGCCATCCTTATCAGGGAGCCAAAAACCCCAGGTACTAACAGGACCAGGAGAATTTTAGCCCCAACTTTAAAACTTGAACCCACCAGTTCCTGCAATGCAGTAAGCACGAGTACAAGGTACAGAGAAATCTTAAATTTCAGAGAAGCCACAAGCCTAACAAATTGTTTAACTGAAATTTCTAAGATGAGACGTAATGAAGAGACTAAATGGAGAAAAGGCTTACCGAGTTCACCAGGAGGAGGAAGGCAAGAGAGCTGATGAGGAGCTGAGAGCTCTGAGCCCTTTTTATACTGTTTCTTTGCCTGCCTTGCTTATCTTAGACGCCCTATATATTCAAAACATACATCTTATTGGTTGGAAAACAGATTTGCCTGTACACGTCATATCTTCAATTAATGTAATTTTCTTCATTGTTTGGGATTATTAGTGTGTTCCCAGCCTTCCGTATGTCACATTGTATTACAGGTTTCTTTCATCTTAAAATTTTCTGGGTCAACTGCATTCCTGATACCATTTTATTGTCTTCCCTGTCAAAACTGAAATTTGTTTTTATATAGTATAAAAGCCTTTACAAGTTCCCAAAGCCATTGGAGGAAGAGAAATTTTCAGTAAAAAAGAAAAATCTTCCCACATGTTTGAAAGTATCTGTTGATCACCAGAAACGGATGCACCATGGCACAGGTTTCCCGTTCAGAGGAAACGTGAACATGTATTTAGGTATGTTATATTAAACTTCAGGAAACAGGACCAGCACGAACTACAAATAAATCTGAATTGCATTCCTCCAAAGTGTTCATGGTGAATAAAAGTCATGCTGCTGCATGAGCAGAAAAAAAAAAAAGAGGTTTCAACAGAAATACAACTACCGCATTGTTTGCAGTTTAGTTCACTAGAGGGATCAACCTCAAGTTTGGAGAACAAAGTGGAGAATACAAGTATGAACTTGGTCTGGAAAATAATAAATAAGGATTTTGAGAGATGGACTAAATGTTATTTTCCAAGGAACCACGTTAATGTTTTCTTCGCAAGGAATCAAGAACTTGTATCAAATACGGTACACGAGTGAGGAATGCTGGAATTTACTGCAGAACTCCTTGTATGACCTTCACCCAGTTTCTGGCACTAATTTGAATACGCAACAAGAGTAATAATGAGCAAGCAGGATGTTGAGGCTTCCTCAGAATTTTGAATACCAAAGCACTTCATAAACACTCATTAATGTTTTCAATTTGCAAAGTGTTGCAGTATTTTAATATTAATAGTTTGTCACCGACAGACACCCCCGGATTTAATAATAATGATCACTTACAAGACACATCAAGGTCTCTTGTTTTTAAGTCCTAACAAGGTCATACATTATATATTTTATGAAAGTCAAAAACTATTTAAAAATTCTTCTAAAATAGGAAGAAGTATTTGGGAACATTCATAAGGCAGCTGAAAAAATTCTCCAAAATCACTGTTGTAGAACCTGAGGCAAAAAAGTCAAACAAAGCTGCTGGCAAGAGATCCCTCACCAATATCACAGGTCGTGATGATGCTGAATAGAAGCGCTACCAGGTTTCGGCACACCAAAGAAAATCCTATTCCTTTTCTCCCCACGCGTTGCACCGCAGATGCAAAAGCCAAGCAAATGGAGTACCTACAAGCACATTGCGCAACCAGTAATGGTCTAAACATCTCCCAAAATTACTCCTATCCGTCCAACTACAAAGAATTCCATGCAATTTTACTAGAAATGTGCTGAGCCCATTTCTTCTCGCTTTAAGATGAAAGAAATTCTAAATGTATTACACATGTGTCATAACACCAAACTTTGAAAATATGAAAATCACTAACTTCAATTATGTCAATTGAAGGAATAATGCATTCATCAAGATACGTTGTATAACTGACACCTAAGTTTAGGAAGGTGTATATATACGGGCCTGCAACTCCGAAATTTTATTCACTTCTCTCGAGCTACTCCCCTCGGTGAACCAGGTAAGTCAATACTGACTCTACTCTCTTTCCGAAAAATGTATATTTCCTTGTCTATATGTTTGTCCATATAAATATTTGTGTGTGCGCATGGACATATATTTCTTAAAAAGGCACTGGTGTGTACATGTGACATATATGGCATGTCTAGGAGTATGTACAGATATTCTGTAAGAAATTTCTTGTCATTTTAGAGCTAATCCCAAACACAAAATTCCGTGCAACATCAAGGAATTTTTTGCTCTTCCTAATAGTAGGAAGCCTATATAGTAGACTTTAAAACATTGAAAATTTGAAATCGTAAGTAATTTCCAGTTTCAGATTATTTTCATTAGGTGTTGGGAATTCAGATCCCTAGATGAAAGCTTTATGAAACATTTACTACTCAAAGTAGACATCCTGGAAGGCAATTCTTCCATTTCATTGAGTTCTTTCAGTTAATCCCACGTTGAGTGGCATGCAGCACTTTGGGAGATAAGGGGATGCATGTGACAGGCTGTTGGTCTCATCTCAATAAGCATCAGTACTTGAACCAGTATATTTTTCTTTGATTTATTCAAACTCCTCTAACTTCTAGGGTAGCAAAGTTCAGTTCTCAGTTGGTGAAAACCATATTTTTCTATATATAGTCAGCCATTTTTAAAAGTTGAGGAGGAAAAAAATAGAAAATATGTTTGGGATTCAGGAGATTAGAAAAATAAATTAGATGGTTAAAAGGATGGCAAACACCTGCAAGAGGGATCAAGCTGCGTTTCCTCACAGCTCTGTCTAAGCCTTGAGCCTTTCCTGCTGCCGTCAGCAGCCCATAAACTCATGTTGTTTCTGGGTGTGTGTTTCAGGTTTACCCACATCGACAAAGAATGACTTTCGACAGGGACCTCCGTGATGATGAGTGCTATTCACCATTCGGCTATGAAGATGTCTATGGTTTTGGGGGCCTGAATGGCTACCGATTTGGGAGCCCATATGGCTACTACCGGGACCAGTACCGATATGGGACCCCATTCAGCTACAGAAGCTTTGGGAGCCTGTATGGGAACAGAGATTTGATTGGTTATGGGGGCTATTACGGGTACAGGGACTTGTACGGATTTGGGTATGGCTACCCCTTCTCTTCTCGCTTTGGAAACAGATACAACTATTGAAACTGCTATCCACGCTGAACCAGCAAAAATAGCAACCAAGAAATGAATTTCAGGACACAGATTCATGGCTAAGGTTATGGTGCTGAGAAACGCCAAGCACCCATGACTCCAGCTGAGTTCAGCGGGACATGTGGGTGCCAGGCTGTGTAAGACTACCCAATACGTAACCCTCTCTAATATCTCTTCTTTCTTCAACTATTACTCTAAAGGGCAACTTGAATTACAGCAGGTGCTGAGAAATATTTACAGCATGTTGATGGAGTAAAGCAGGACTTTCTGGTGAGGGTAAAGTGTCTTTTAAGTTAATTCACAGCCACTTTGTATTGTCATAGTAATAGGAGTTTCTGCAACCACCATGAACAAGTCCACCTTGCTCAGCTATGAACTTCACCAAAGATGACATCTAGTAGAGAAGCTCCTGTTATATAGCCATGCTGTGCCTCATCCGGCAGTGAACATGATTTACAAGCAACTCCTCAAGCAAGAAACACATCTGGACTGTCAAACTCCAACATTTCCACAAGGAGAAAGCATCACCCAGTATCAGACACACTCTACTTGCTGAAGGCCCTTTTGTAAAACTACGAACTTATTCTTTCTGTTGCTCACTGTTTCTCATTTTCATTAAAATTACTCTGCTTAATAGCATCAGATGTCCAGTCTTCTTTTGTCTGTGCTCATACACTACCATAAAAGGACCAGCAGCATTGCCTCTCCAACCATACAACAAGACTCAGATGTTAGAGAGCATCATCACAAGTCCATCTGAAATGCACCAGCCCCAACTCGTTTCCTAGAGTAGGAAGAAGTTCTACCTTATTTTAAGGGACATGTGATCTTGGGTTTACACAAATACTTCTCCAGAAAAGGGCATCACCTGACTGTATTACCAAATACACACACACTCCTGGAGCAAGCTAGGTTTTGTGCTTTAACAATAACTTTCAAAGGCAAGAGATTGAGTGGAAGTCTTGAGGTCTGCCAAGGAAATACAGCAATGACACTCAAGGTTAAAGACACCTCAGAGAAAAGACCAGAGGCAACCAAGCCACAGCCATCTGCTGGAGAGATCATCTCCTTTGCAAACTGAACAGCCAGGTTATTCAGGGAGTTCCTGTCAGTCTCTACTATGTTACCTTAGGAGATTGAGTAGTCTTCATTTGGATTTATAAAATCAAATATTATAATCTGTCATAGAACAACGTCGTTCAACAAGCATAGTCTAGACAAAACTGCATGGGCCCCATGCAAACCCAGTTCTACATTAAAGACATCATCAGGAGTCAAAAAATCTTGTTGCAGAAGTGACTGTGAGGGATCACCCCTGGGCTGATGTTCAAGAGATACCCTAAGTTCCTACAGCTTCTCTTCTCATGGTGGCCACCTGCACAAGCATTTCTGTATTCCTCAGTTGACAGAGCAAAGTAGAGAAAAGGGTCAAGAAAATAACTAGTGGAGCAGATTGGAGAAGAACTTTCATAGGCAGAAAACCAGTGATAGTTAGAAAAAGAGTCCCCGAGCTGTAAATGCAATTCCTCCAGTCCAAAGTCCATTTCTTTACAGCCATGTCAGTGCTTCCATTTAAACCATTTGACCTTGAACTGGACGGCAGTAGAAGATGAACCCCAGAGATCCATTTTCTTGTCTGGGAAGGGGTAGCTACAACTAAGAGATGGGCCTGGTCTGCTGCATTGGTACTCAAAGATTACCTCCCTGTGCCCTGCTTTGAGCAAGACAGAGTCAGATCAGGATGCCCCAGGAAGAAGGTAAGGGCAACAACCTCCACCCTGGCTTCCTAGCAGGGCACATAGGCAGTAAATCAGTACAGTCCTTTGAAACTGTCAAAGCTATTAAGAGATGTTTTATAATCCTTCTGCTAGCTTCTGTCAGCAGCAAAAAGGGCTGGGTTCCTCAGGGAAAACATTGAGAAATAGTGGAGTCTCCTCCCACCACAATAAATTCAGCTTATCTCCCTTGGATGCCCTCTAGTACACAGGGCTTTTCCCACCTCCACATACAGTGCAGAAGAGCTTATACAGAGATGTAAGGGAAGAGAGACAGAAAAAAAACACGGAAAGCCAAAGATTTGGGTCAAATTCTCAGCTTGCCCAGAGTCCTCCAAGCCCCAACTTAACATCGTGTCCCTGGCCACATTTGCCAATGCAGCAGTACTTATGATGTTTCTTCTCTTCACCACATCCCACTCAGTTTATCACCAGAGGCACTATCACTTCCAACAGCAGGTGCAATCACCATCTGATGCCGGGGGGAACATGGCCCACAGGCTATAGTTGCCTGCCAACCCCAACATTCCCAGTCCTGTCACCTGGCTTCACCTCCCTCCACCACTCCACCTCAGAGCTACCCAAGTACCACCTCATTTCCCTTTTTACTTTGAAGATGCCACTGCTCTAGTTGCGACTCCAGCTCTAGGGGTGTCCCAAGGCACCTCGCTCCTGCCTCCAGCTAAGCAACCTCAGCTTCTCCCCCTTGCTCCAGGATTCTGGGACACAGTCAGGATTCTCTTGTCCTGCTGTGAGTCAGCCTTATGCAAACATTGGAGCCCAACCACCACACAGGGAGAGAAATCAGTTTCTTACCCCAGTGCCCCTACCACAGGGCTCTCACAGCCTTTAGTTAACAAACAGGAATTGGATCATCTTATTACCTTTTCATTCAAGAACTTCAGGGTAATTCAAGAAGGCCCAAATCATTGCAGAATCAAGGTTCAGTCCACTCCCTTCACCCCACCCAAGCATCAGTCAATAGCACTGATCCTCATTTCCATTGGATCCATCCCAACATCTCAGGAAGATCTGAGTTTATCATACATCTGTTCGGTGGTGTGTGAGGAGTATTTTCCTGTGTCTCATAGGGTTTTACATCCTAAGGTTTAAGAAAAGTTGGAAGATGTCCCTGCCCATGGCAGGGGGGGTTGGAACTAGATGATCTTGAAGGTACCTTCCAAACGGGTTTATGATTCTATGATTAGAAGAACTTTATGTCTGCCTATGAGAAATTATCATAATAGATGACAGTTGGCTAATTTAGCTAACAGAAAACTAACTCCTATAATTTCATTTAAACTTCTGAATGCCAGTGTGAAGCAGGATGTACTTACTGCATGTGTGCAGGAAACTATCAATTTAAATGCACCTTATGACCAACCCACACATGAGGCAAGGCTGCAGGACATGCCTCCAGCACCAAGATTCACTGCAAGAGCAAGAATGATTTTTAAAGAGTAAACTTATCCCAAACAAGAAATTGGGCCCTGACTGTTGCACTCATGGGACTAGAAGATTTTCAAAATATTTCTTAGAGTGCAATATTACACCAAGACCTTTTAAGAGAGGTGAAAGTAGACCATGGTATAGGAAAAATGGTCTTACCAGAAGCAACAAGAGGAATAATAAGCATTTAAAAATTCACCATATTTAAATGAAGGTTCATTATTGCATTATGGTTAAGAATATAAGAGACATTAACAAATGTTTCCACCATCTAAAAAGACGTTGGTAGCTTCTTAGTAAGATTCTTGATGTCTTTAGTCCTCAGAGCACTTCACATGAGTAGCTTTTATATCAAAATTAAAGGTGTATTATAAATAGTTCCATAGAAATCCACTGGTCAAATTTCCTAATTTTACTGACACTTGGTGTTCTGCATAACTGCAAGCCTCAGCTAATTAAGTTGGAAAGTACATCTTGAAAAGCCTCAATAAAAACTTCGTTTTGTTTCTAAGTACACCATTAGCATAACAATAAAGATTCCTTCAACTGGCTTTTGAGGTTCGGGGGTTCTCTTTTGTAGGGAAGGATTCATGCAGTTGGTGAGAATATGGTTTAATCACCTCATCCAAGGCTCACCAACAGCCAATTACACACTATTACAGTGCCCGGTCGACTTTGTTTTCTGTAAACATAAGGATAATAATTCTCTGAAGAGTGACTACTATGAAACAATCCAGCATTCTCAAGTCGGCTTGCAATACTGAATTATACTATTTCTATAACAAAGTGTTAATACACCATATAACATTTTGAATATACACAGAGCAGCATGGAAAGCTTGTGAAATGTTTATTATCAACATATTCCTGAAGAAATTCAAAGTTTCATGAATGAACATCACCATCCATTTTCACATGCATAGGTTATGTTGTTGCAAGACATTGAGCAGGGCAGTACAGCCAGAAATTTAATTTTTTACACTCAAAACCAGCTGCTTTTAGGTAACACTTGGCTTCAGATTCTTCTTAGTAACACCGACTCTCCATGCATCTCTGCTCTGAAGCATATGCCAAGACAGAGAGGTTGAGGCTGGGGACACCAGATGACACACTGTGCCAAAAAAGTCATTATTGGGTAAAGAACTCCACAGAGCAGAGCAAGACCAGGAACACTGAAAGTAAAGATGTGGGCAGCAGTTTCTTGAGGGGACAGCTACAGCATAGGGGTTGCTGTGGAAAGGAGATGCACACACAACCCGCAGACAAATCTCTCAAGAATATCATTGTTCTGAAGCAGGACAAAGGTGTCTGGATGAGGAGGAGCAGAGGAGAACACACAGACACACACACAAGTGTAGAGGCCAATAAAACGTTGCAATGCCATGTTTAATGAGAAAAAGGCAGATCATACAGAGGCAGGATTATATAGTAGAGATCACAAATTCCCTGCAGCCTGTGGTTTGATGCAAGATGATTCATGTAATAACTGATGTTGCTTCCCTATTGCAGCTCTGTGTTGATACTCAGCCCTGATCATAGCAAGACACATGCAGCACAAACAGAGCATAGGCTGGTTGACTCCATGATCCTTTTTTATACATCATTAGCCACAGAAAGAGCCTACAAAGGGATCTAAAATGGATGTCATACCTGATCCCTTTACATTGAAGCAATGATACCTACAAGACCTCAAGGAATTAGCAATATAGTCCATAGCATCAAGATCAGAGCACTTAGAAAGATAGGAAGACATTAGAAAGTCAGGAAG